GTGAAAGTGGAGGCCTGTATTTGGAAAAAGYATTGCACACAGTTACATCAAAACTACACTTTATATTCTGCAGAATTATTCTCAACCAGTAGCTTTCCAGAGTGGAAGAGAGACAATTTAAGGACTGGAGAATGATTTACATCACTAAAATGCTTCCAAATATGTAACATGCTTTACTATCTGAAGAAAAATGCTTCCACATAGGTTAGATGTTTCCTTCTACTTTCAAAACAATTCTTGAATTTCAAGTGTGCAATTCCAGTATAGAATGGACAGCAGTTATGCTCAATTTAGGTGCAGTTGCCACAGGACCAACTTGGAATAATTAGAAAGGGAGCTGATTTCAAATGAATAAAGATATGAATTACAGAATATTTTCTTGGAATTAAAAGATGCAATATGTACATCTTGCCCTGCTAGAAGTCCAATTGTCATGAATAGATAGGGATCCTGCCTTGGCGCAACAATGTCCCAGCCTGAGACCTTTCAGGATGTGTTTAATGAATTCTCTAAGATAATCCTCAAGAAACGCTGTGTACACCACAGACTGGCCTAACAAATCTCTCCTATAGCTGGCATAGCCTTTGAATCAACCACCAGGATCTGCACCTTCAAATTGGTCCAGCCCAAAATGATAGTATTTGGTGTATGATAATACACTGAGTAATAATGGCTGGTATTAAAATTGGATGGCATAATAATGGATGGTATTTAAATTAYAGGGATTAAAAACAAAGCCCAATGTAAGAATGGCAAGATTAATTTTTAAAGTCCCGTTAGTCTTTTCCTGAAGAAGTCATCTTCTGTTAAGTACATAGAATAAATTTGCCAAGAGGTAATAAATGGGACATCAAATTAAAAAGTTTCTGCACAGCAAAGGAAAAAAATTARGAATACGAAGAGGGGACCTACAAAATGGAAGAAAATATTTGCTCTCTACTCTTCTTATAGAGGGTTAATATCTAGAATAAAGAGCTCAAGAAACTTTACAACAAAAAAATCAAATAACCCCAATTAAAATTGGGCAAAGGAATTAAACAGACACTTCTCAGAAGAAGAAATACAACTGGTGAAGAAATACATGAGAAAATGTTCAACATTATTAGCAATTAGGGAAATGAAAATCAAAACTACTCTGGGATTTCATCTCACACCAGTCAGAATGGCAGCCATCAAGAATACAAATAATAATAACTGGGTATGGTGGTAGATACCTGTAATCCCAGCAATCTGGTAGGCTGAGACAGGAGTTCAAAGCCAGCCTCAGCAATTTAGCAAAGCCCTAAGCAACTCAGCGAGTCCCTGTTTCTAAATAAAATATTAAAAACAGCTAGGGATATGGCCCAGTGGTTGAGCACTACTACTACTACTAATGATAATAATAATAATAAATGCTGGAGAGGAAAAGAAATAGAAAGAAAAAGAAATACTTTTACACTCTTGGTGGGACTTTAAATTACTGTAACCACTGTGGAAATCAGTATGGAGTTTCCTAGAAAGACTAGGCATGGAACCACCATATGACCCAGCTTTACCACTCCTTAGTATTTATTCTTAAGAATTAGTCGTATTACTATAGTGATTCATGCATACCCATRTTTATAGCAGCACAATTCACAATAGCCAAACTATGGAACCATCCTAGGAGTCTATCAATGGATGATTGAATAAGCAAAATATGGTATAGATACATAACAAAATTTTATTCAGTCATAAAGAAAAAAGAAATCATGTCTTTGCAGGAAAATGGATAGAACTAGAGACCGTCATATTAAGAGAAGGTCAAGTGTTATATGTTTTCTCTCATATGTGGAAGGTCAGAGAGGAAAAAGGAAAAGAAAGGTGGTGGTAGATCTCCTAAAAACCAAARGGAGATCATAGAGGAAAATACCAAGGAGTAGGAAATGGGGAGGGAAGGGGAAAGTGCTGGGGAATTATATTATATTTTGCTGGCCAAATTATATTATTGTATTGWGTGCATGTAAGAATATATAAAACAACCAAGTCCACCATTATGTACAACTATAATGCACCAATAAAAAATGTGGAAAACGTTTTTAAAAATGAAAAATTTAAAAAGAATAAATTTGCCAGATTCTCAATGGCCCATAACATCAACTGAGAACCTATTGGCTATTATTCTTGGGGCTGGGGATGTGGCTAAAGCGGTAGCGCGCTCGCCTGGCATGCGTGCGGCCCGGGTTCGATCCTCAGCCCCACATACAAACAAAGATGTTGTGTCCGCAGATAACTAAAAATTAATATTAAAAATTTAAAAATTCTCCCTCTCTCACTCTCTCTTTAAAAAAAAAAAAAAAGATCATTTCTTTGTCCCCATCGTTCATTATTCCCAAAGTAGCTAAAATCCCCTTAAAAGTGAATTCCCATCATCAGCAGCAGCACATTGCCAGGACAGTGCCTCAGGATGCAATTAAAGCAAGCCTACATCAGGTGAACACCAGGAACGATCAATAGATGTGGGCAAGCCCCTGAAAATGGACAATTACCACCATGCCCTCTTTTGCAACAGGGCTACATAAAAGGAAAGTGAGGGGTATTTTAAATGGCCTCGGCTCCCATTAGATTATCTACCTAMATTTACATGTTGCTGCGTGATGCATATCCATATCTGCAAAGCACACTTGAAAGAAAACTAAAGATGTCAACTTCTATTGACATTAAACAGTGGGAAATTTTATGTAGGCTTTCAGAACTTTCTATGCAACCCAGTTTTTTTTTTCTTCATAGAATCTATGTACAGGGTATTTCCTTCCATTTATTGTGTTTTATGATCCTCCACGTTTGTGAGAGAAAAAGGAAGTCAGTGGGGTACTTTTTYCTCTCTTTCAGACCAAAAGACGGGTTTGGGTATTTTTCCTTCCTCAAATAATTGTATAAAATATATATTTTTTTAAATCCAAACTCTCAGTTGGTAATATTTTTGCTCTTCTGAAGCCCATCATTTTCTGTTTTATCCTGTTCCTTCATGTTCTGGGGTGTTCCTGGGATATCAATCTCAACTCATAATTATTTGTCTGCCATTTAGCCACAAGGTGTAAATTTGCTAACTGAAAAGGTGTTCTCTGACAGTTCATCTCAATGTATGTCCAAAAGCTGAGCTCACTGCACTGGAAAATTTCCCCAGAGGATTATTCTGTAGAATGGGGGCCATTTGTTGAGCTGTCTGGTGTATATGGAGAGAAAATAAAAAGACCTGCCAGAGAGAAGCAGGCTCATATGGCCCCTTTCAGAGCCAAGAGAGAAATCAAAGGATAATTTCCTGTCCACTTTAGTTACCAAGCATGATTTTGGGAACCAGGTCCTAGAGATATTTTCTTATTAGTGTTTTTAAAGATATCACCTAAACAGAGTCCCAAATCAGGGAATTTGGGCAAACTTAGTGATGCCCACAGGCTGTACTCAGAGATTACCACCAACTCAGAACCTTTTGTCTGTAGCTAAGACCCACAAGTTCTTCAAGGATCTATAAAAGTATTTGGAACCAGAAGAAAAAAAAAAAAAAAAAAAAAAATATATATATATATATATATATATATATATATATATATATATACACACACACACACACAGAGAGAGAGTAGTGTTTCAAAGTCCAAAACCAAAAAATCAATATTATCAAATATTTAATTGAATGTCTACAAAATATCTAATATTAACTTCATTATCTAATTTACTTTTCTTAAAAATTACATGTGAATTCAAATCTGCATTCARTTTTCTCACTTTCCAAGATTTTGAACACACTAATCATAAAAAAATTACATATGGCCAATAATTTGAAATTCAAAATGTTAAGAACCCTCTTCATTTTTTCACAGGAATGTCTATTTCAGGGGGTATATGGAAGCATTTAGTGTTCTTTATTTGATGCATGTGGTAAAACCTAAAAAAATAAGAGTCTACAGCTCATGAAGATTCTAAAACAGTCCTACACCTATCACCTCTTCTTTGTGTGTATGATTATTCCTGCAGATGCATATCTGCTCAGATTCTAATAGGGAGGACCAGAAGGCAAGGTGGGGTGAGGGAGGTTCTGCTTTGCTGTTGCTGTAAGCACCCATAATTGAGGTGAAGTGACAGGGCAGGGGTCTAAGTCACCTGTGTATCACTGGAGAAATCACAGGATGGTGCCCAGTTCTGCTTAAGACCAGGAGTTCACAGAGATGGAGAAGCTCAGCCATCAGCTGGGTCATGTGGGAATTCTAGTGTCTCCTTGTCTAAACTGCGTTCTTTCTAATAGGTGATCAGAGCCTCGTGTGCCCTYGTGTTCTAGCCAACCTTTCCCAACTCAACAGAGCTCCATTTTAGAATAGAAAATTGGAAGTAGAGAGAACACGAGAAAAAATGGATTATCTAACTTCCATGTATAGTTGATCCTGGTCTTTAATTCAGCAATGTAACTTCYTCAGGTCTTGTTTTATTAATGATATATGGGATAATGAATACTGACTCTCTCCAAAGATGGAAAGTGACCCTTCCTTGTAATCCCATTCCCCCTAACAATAACCACTAACAATATTTTTTGCAGATTTTTTCTTTTACATATAATAAAGTATTAATAATGTATCCTATGATGTGATATAGTAATGAATAAGGTTTTTAAAATAAGTTTTCATTTAACAATATTTCTTAAATATTACCYATTTCCATACCTGCAAATTCACCTCATTCACTTTGATGATCACATGGTATTYCACTACATGTCTGGGCTGTGATTTACTTAAGTGGCCTTTATTGCTGGACATTTGAGTTGGCCATTCAACTTTGACCTGTCAAGAGAATGGCTGACGTACCTGAATATGCCACTGTATATCACCTACAAATATAAACGCTTTGCCCCTGTTTTGTCTTAATTCATCCCAAGAGCAGCAAAAAATMAAATCTTTATAATGACACTTATTATTAAATGTAAATCCTATATGTAATTTGTCTTTTATTTATTTATTTGTCTTTTGTTTTTGCCTTTTCCTCTTATGCAGTCATCTACAGCCAGGGACAAGGATGAACCAGCTCTACCGGTAGGGACCAGTGGCCCTGTCTGCCTGTCCTGTGCCTGTGGAGAGCGTCGSGCTGGGGTGGGAGGAAATCAAACTGTATGGTCAGCAAATCATCCTCTCCCTTGGAATACATATATGGTTTAATCCACTGGGTCAAGTGTATACTCTGTCTTACAATGATTAACAACTGAATTGTGACATTTGCTGACAATTATTTTTGGTCCTAGGTTTCGAAAGTTTGAATTCTCTCTACCATTGGGCATGAACTTTTTCATGAAAAAGTTGAAAGAGAAATTTCCAAACTACATTCCAAGGGATGTTGAGTTGATATTTGGTGGGGGRCAGAGTGGAATCTAATGCTTGATAAGTGTCTTGTGTGTCGCATGCACATACTTTTTAATTTAAAATTTCTTTTGATCCCATCAAAAGAAATGCTGCATGAAACTTATGTATTCAATATATGCATAATGCCTGAAATAATGTTTTAAGTTCTTCTGTAGATAGAATTCTATCCTATTGACGGATGCCCACAGCAAAGTTCTTCCAGTTTCCCAGAATAAGGACCACAGTAACAATAGTTATGAGAGATAATTAGCAACAGACACAATTTCCAGTCCCTGTCCAATTAACTTATCCTACTTTGTATTGTGCATTGTGGCAAGAAGAGAACCTCTGAGTCCTTGTGTTTAGTTATCAGTGGTTACATTTCAACTTTATTCAAGTCTCCTAACCTTAATACATGTTAAGATATATACTGAGGTATATATATTAATATTATGAACCCTAATCATCTGAACCCTCTATAACTTAATAGTTAATCAACACTTTTAAAAGTGTTACAGATTTTCAAAGCTAAAATSACCAGTAATGAAAATATTTATGCCCCTCTCCTTCCTCCCTTAATGCTCAAAGCAAAGACATAAGATATTCATTGAGAGCCCAGAGGATTCTAGATCCAGTCCCAGGCTACAGGCACAAACCTCAATATCTTCCACTGAGGAGTTTATGATCTCTTTCACCATTTAGACACCTCTGATTCTTCTCTGAACCCTGTTGAGTTGGAAATATAATTTTAATAGAAAAGCAATTATAATAAATCTGATGTCTACATGTACCTCACATTGAGATTTTATCCATATTTCAAGCTCACTACAGGTTTCATATTTACCACCAAATGTTTGGACCCAYGATCATTARTAAATATTTAACAAAATCAGGGACAYGTTGGCAACAGTTTGGAAACACTACCAAAGTTAACCAGATCTCATTAATGGAAGACTTAGTGGTCTAATGTGTGTCTTGAATCTCTAAAGATGAGCTGGTTTAGCATTTTCTAAATATAGTTAATTATGGTGTCTCTTATGAAACTTTTCTTAGAAAGTCCCCTTGAAGRTTTGGAGTATAGTCAAATATTTTGGAAAACCCTACAATGTGGAAGGTTGGAAGGCTGTATTGAAAATAATATGTTATTTTTATTTGACTCCAGAAAAATTCCGTATCAAGCTTTTGGACCAAAATTTCAATAAAAAGTTAATTCATTTATATTATAATACCTCCTTCCCCCTTAAATCTGTCTATCTATAAAGCTTAGCTGCCTCTGAGCATCTTCTCCTGTGATAAGCAGCACAAAATCCATCAAGAGGAAGAAAGTAGTTTCTCTTCAAGAAAAAAATCTGTCAAAATATAGTGAATTTGTGGTGAGATTTTTTTTAGTCTATTTGCCTTTGTAGATAAAAGAAAAAGAGTGTGCTGGTAAACTCATCTCTAGAAGCTCATTCGTCCTCTCACATCTCAGATCCATTATTTGGGCAAAGAATCACAATTAGTATGAGTTTGTGTAAAGAAAGAACCCTGTCTCCTCCTTGGAAGCCAGGAGGATTCTCCAGGGATCCAGGGTAGAAGGCCTTGTCTCTTCAGCTTTCACTAACACAAAGCATAGTGCTTTCTGAATTAGAGCTGTGCTCCCCAGGGTTGAGACAAGGTCTCCCCAGAGACATGCAAGCTGATCCTTTGGGGATCAAGGATAAAGATATTAGCATCGTCTTCATATACTTTCTGTATCATTCTTCTTAGTTTAAAAATAAAACATTGTATATGCTCATAATTTAGTGTGTTTATCTATATAGATAGGGATATTAATGTGAACATGGATATCAATATAGATTTATTATATAACTATAGTTTATTAATATGGATATTGATGTTGATATACACTGAAGAATTTTACCAATGGCATGCACCAATCCAAAATTTTAGAGACAACCCCCTTCTTTAGTACCAGAAAAAAACAGACTTGAAACCCACACCTCTGTCTCTCATTTGTTGTCTGTGTGACTTGGACATTCATTGCACTTCTCTAAGAATGTTTCCTCCTCTATTTCGGACCAAGACTAATAGGATCTACTTCATGGGGCTAACTTTGAGAATGAGATAAGCAAATGATGTGTTGCATGTAGCACGTTGCCTTGCATTAACTAAGCTCTACAACAACTGGAAGCAATTAAGTCTTTTAATAGGAGAGGTTGTAAGAAAGCTATCCYCTCAGGAGGTTAGAAATGTGCTCTCAAAATCTTTGGTTGAATGACATATRATCATGTAATAGAAATGGGTGTCCACCAGGCCAGGTGAGGGTCTTATCTATAATGCACTTCTGAGAACTAACAGTATCTTTGGTTTCTCTGCTCAGGCTAAGCCGCGCCTACAGCGAGGTGGAAGTTCTGCTTCCCTCCACAACAGTCTCATGAGGAATAGCATCTTCCAGCTCATGATACACACCCTGGACCCTCTGGCAGAAGGTAAACATCAGGCTTTGGTATGGGAGCTTGTGGTGGGGGAAAGAGGATATCAAAGGATTTTCTTCACAAAACATATTGACGCCTGTCAAACTCCTCTTGGTTAGCATCTACCAGAGGAAGCCCTGCCCTCTGATGTGCTTTATGTGCCACAACTCAGTTCATGGTGGGTGGCTTTGTACCAGGAGGAGGATGTGGGTTCCATGTGCTGTTTCTGTCTTTTGATACCTCCAGGATGAATACAGTTTATTATGAGGCAGAGGACATAAAGGTTTCCCTCCCATCCAGCTACAGTAGCAGTTTTCCTTTATCATCCTAAGTTTCAAAACAGAATTGTTCATGCAGAGAAGTTGTGTGCCTTAAAAAGGAGAGAGAAAAAGAACTCCAGGATTTAGGATGGCCACGAGTAATTTGAAGAGTTATGTTCACAGCAGAATATTGATATTGTACTGATTTTTTTTTTTTTTGGCAGTTGAAGGTGGGGTGGGGGGAGAGTAAGCATCTAAACATCCAAAGATCTTTAAGGTAACTGATAAGGAACAGTCATTGGAGACCCAAAGAGCCTGGTTCACCTCCCAGGGTAATTGTAAATACCATCACAAAAAATCCAGTGTGGATTTTCACAGGTTTGCTTGGTGCAATGAAGCCAAACACATCATGTTTTTCTTCAGTTGCATTTCAGTTTCCTAAACAATTCRTTTTTCCACTAGATAAATATCTGATGTGTCAAATAAATATCAGAGTTTTGCCAGTAGCAAGAAGTTCTGATATAACCAAGTCTGTTCTGCTTCACCCCGAACCTTGCAATGAGGCATAATGTTACACAGGCACTAATAGGGATCCTGGGAAAAAATATGGCCTGAGAAACAGGTATGTGTACGGAACACACCGGCTCCAGTTGCCAGTCCTACCACATTCATCAGAGATCTCAAACAGTATCAAGCTTTGCTAAGTAATTTCAAGGTCACAGGCAACCAAGAGTCTCACATGATGTTAAGAAAATTCTGGAACTCCAAAAAACAATTCCCTGGTCCTACCTTTTCTCAGTGGACACACACCTATCCCCCAGAAGAATAGGTCCACAAGGTCACCTCCCTCTGCAGAGCAKGGAGCATTTCTGTTATGAAGCCTCTCCCTGTTACACCCCAAAGTGTTATGCAGCTGATGAGGAGTCCCCCAGTACACCCTGCTGCATAGATTTCATTACTGTTTGCAAGTGATAATCCTTCCTTGGAGCATCCTAAATACCATTACTCTATTAACCCAGAGGTCTATTAACCCGACAGGGGCTTTAGACCTGCTCACTAGCCTTCTTCTTTYTCTTGAGTACAATCACAGAGGAAAGAGTAAAGGAATTGCAGACCAACTTCCATAAAGCAGTCTTTGCGTGACTTTGGGCTAGGCAGGATCCCTCTAGAACCTTGCTTCTTCATCTGCAGCAATATTTCTCATTGTCGGGCACTTTACAGTTGATAAAGCATTTTCATACTTGTAAACTTGTGCTTCACAATCACGCTGCCTAGCTAACATTATTCTCCTTTCATGAAATATTGGGCCTCCACCCACCCCCGCACAGGCTCAAGTTTTTCTCCTGCGCTCCCTGTGCCTGYACTTTCTTCCAAGCCATCCTCACCGCTTCCCCCAGAGGCTACCTAGCAGGTCTTCACTTCTTCTATTGCCTCCATCTACACACAGTTTCCACACAGCAGCCCAAGTCATCTTAAAAAGTAAATTGGATTATGTCCACTCYGGTTTATAATCTTCAGCGGTTATCAGGGCTCTTAGGAAAATGATGAAAGCCYAGCCACGGTCTACATGATCTGCCTTTTGTTCCAAACTCAGTTGGGCCCACTTTGTTTTAACCACAAGGGGCTTGCCGTCTTCAGACAGACGCCTCTTCCAGGCCTSGGGATCTTTACAGTAATCTGTTCCCACCACCAGGGCACTTTTCCCTCCCTCCACCCCCTCCCATTTCCTCCAGCTGTACTTCTTCCATTATTCCTGATCATCCAGTATAAATCAAGGCCCCAACCCTCTCCTCTCAGTGCACTCTTTAGTTTACCTTATTGCACACTTTAGAATTGTGTGGTTATGTCTTTTGTTGCCTRGCTGCCARGATGCAATAAGTTTGCTGAGAGCCAGGGCTCTATATTATTCACCAGTTGTCACCAGATCCTAGCAGAGTGCGTAGTAGCTGCTAAGGCTACAAACCTAGCCAAAGTCATGACATTGAACTGATAGCCACATGCTTCTGAAGCCTGTAAAGCCATACCTTAAAACTGTAGGTGAATTATTTCCTGGTTATTTTGAGCTACCATCTTCTCTACCCCCATTTTCTTCTACCCCCATTGTTGAGAGAAGAGAAGAATCATTTTATCTGCCCCCAACTCAATCAAGAGCAAGTGACTGTTTATTTGGGGCAAGGCAGTGTTATGTAGTAATTAAGAGGAAAGACTCAAGTCCACACTCTGGATTCAGATCCCAGTTTTGCATTTACTAGTTGCATGACCTTGAACAAGTTACTTCACTTCTCTATACCTCAGCTTCCTCATCTGTAAAACCAGGATGATACATATCAATATCTGCACTGAAGGGTTACTGTAAGGATTATAGGAGTGAATATGTACACAGCTTTTAACATGTTGCCTAGCATACCATAARTACGATAAACAGGCTTGGAATTATTTTACTTCATTATTTTGAAAAGTGGTAATTTTTTTCAATTTTGTAATATTCAAAAATTATAGTGAAAAAATGCCTTCCTCCTCCATCAACACCCAACCTCAATTTTCTCCGTTTCTCAATTATCTCCCAAAGAAACTACTGTTATATCAATTTCTTGGGACTCTTTCCAGAGATATGCTATCATATATAACTGTGTGTGTGTGTGTGTGTGTGTGTGTGTGTGTGTGTGTCCCCTTGCCCACAGGTCCGGGCCATCTATATTTCTCTTTTTGTTTAGAGGAATTCAGTTTTTGATAGGGCTTGTTTGTATTTTTCCTGTGTAGAGGGGAGGTTATGTTTTGTTTCTGTGAGATAAGAGGAAGTGAATCTGGGTTGTCTCGAAGTAGGGCCCTCAGTTATTTTCCAAAACACCTGGTCCTTGTGGAGCTATGCTGCAATTAAGCTGTTTATTCCTGCCGTGGTGAGCTGTGCCTCCAGAATCTGAGCTCCTATTTTCAAGGTGAACCCTCTCCCTGAAAGACATGGAGGGCTCCAGTCGTGAGAGTCTGAGAGATGCTGAGAGCTCTAATCAGTTCTGGACCTGAGTGATTAGAAAATATGGAAAGCACTTGAGTGCTTTAAAATTGCTCCATAGCACACAGCCAAGAAAACAGATTGCTCTGGTATTTTTCCCCCAAAATTCACAATCATTTTCCATTCCAAGAACAGCCAAAAAAAACATTAACCCACAGCTCTCAGAAATAGTCATCTCTCTTTTAGTTTGCATCAAACCACTTGAATTCACACATCCTTGTGCCAAAATGCTACCTTTGAGTACCATAGAGCTTACAGGTTACAGCACCATGTTGACTCCAGGAACATTACAGTAKCTTCCCTACTGTGCCCAAAGACAGTCCACTGATGTTTCTGACATTCCTCTGAGTAAAGCGTAGGCACCACTGGTATCAGCGAGCATTCACAAAGGGACATATTCAACTGCATTTGAAAACATCATCTAGGACAGATGGCCTAGGAAAACACATTTCCCTTTGTCTCATCTCTGCAATTCAGGTATTTTTTGTCTTCTAAAATTCAGTGATTGAGTCCTTGCTAAAAGTTTTCATTAATGGTTGTTGGTTCAGCCTMTGAGTCTGAGGCCCAAGATCCAGCAGTGTTTGTGTTTCACTCATTTATTGAAATGTCACAAAGCACCCAACATTCAGTGGCTTAAAACCACTGACACGTTATTATTGCTCATGATTTTGTGCATCAGAAATTTGGACAGGGATCAGGTGGGTTATTTTCCTATTCTATGTGGTATTGGTGGAGGTCATTTGGTGGTATCCAGCTGGTGGATAGGTAGGTTAGAAGGTCCAAGAGAGTCTCACTCACATGACTGGCACCTTTAAAAGTACAACTGGAAGGCTGGGTTTAGCTGGGTACCCACATAGCCAGACTTCTTCCTTGGTAGCTAAGTGTTCCAAGAACAAATCTTCCTGGAGGCCTAGGCAACAGGTACAAGGTTTGCATGACCCAGCCTGGGAAGTCCCAGAACATCACTTCTACTACATTCCATCAGTCAAGCAGTCACTAAGGCCAGCCTAGACCCAAGGAAAGATTTGCATCTCTACCTCCTCAATGGGAGGAATACAAAGAATTTGAAGCCACTTTAATTCAACCCAGACTTTTTCGGGGATCCACACCATGGATTGTGCATTGTTGTTTGACATGCCCTGGGCAGTCCACACTGTGTGGAAGGAATATGCCAGTCAGTCTGCCAAGCAAAGCTGAGCGGTGCCTTTTCAGGGACACAAAATTCTGAAAGGGACATTTTCATGAAAAAGAAGGAATCTGCCTACAGCTTTTAAGAATGGTTGGAATAAAGATATTGGAATARAGATATTACTTATATTCATAAGTAAGCCTTGGGGAACTAGATTTATCAGTGTTTGAGATTACACCATGATTCTCTGAATTGATCTTTCTAAAAAAATCACTGTCCTGTGCTGATTTTAACATTTTCTCTGAACAAACCATCATGCTTTCCTAGGTATACATCTTTATGAACCTAAAACAAAGATGCTAGATGTGGCACTCTGGGAATCAAGCAGCCTCTCCTGCCAATTTGTCTCATTTTAAAATACTAACATTTGCAGGGTGCTTACTGGCAGGCCAGGCACTCTGCTGAGTGCTGCATATTAACCAACTTATCCTTAGCCCTGTCCCACTCCATCATTCACAGGAGGACACCGACATGTTCAGAGGCTGTGTCTTACCTCACTACTGAGGCACAGGAAGCCTGGCAGAGCTTGGCTTGAAYTGATGTCTGCCTGACTCTA